AATTTTTATAACTCATTTCTGTACCGGATGATATGACCTTATTTTAGTCACTAAGAAACTTTGACTTGTTAGATTTGGCCTACCCCTGATGATTTTAAACTTTTATAGGAACACAATTTAAGCAACCCGTGAAAACATATATTGTAGACTTTCAATGGCTAATTGTTTATTTTTTTCTTGGGGGACATAATGTTCTTTTAGTTTACTCAGTGTTTTCAGTATGTATCTTTTTGAAGAAGTACTGTTTGATCCACACATTGTGCAATCAACTGTAGCAGGTGGGATGAAGCCAACTAAGTACGTCCAGGCATGATAGAGTCACACTCGGTCAGGAGCTATGAAGTTAGGAATTCAGGGCCTTAGGGACCTGGTTAGGATTCAGGGAAAGGATTCTTTGCCCCTCAGAAGAGAGCTGGCAAACACCAGTCAGAGAACACAGTCTGAGGCATGCTGCCATTAAAATAAAGCAAGCACAGGAACACATTTGAGATCCTGGAACTGGGCATTAGAATAAAGATGGAGTCTGAATATAAAGGAGAAAGCAAACTGCTATCTAGATTAGAGCCCACTTTTGCTAGACGAGGTACAATGGAGCCTTGAAGGTCAGTCACAAATTGTTGAGCCAGTTCTTTTAATTCCTCTGGTCTGTTACCAGGATTTACCATCAAGAGTACGTGGGCACTTAACCTGTAAATCAAAATCCAAGTTTCCCACTGTAAGGAAAGAGGGTTAAATTTTAACAACAATCCAGGGCATTATGAACAAAGTTCACAACAGGATTTAGCGTTGGTGGGGAGGGTGGGGTGGGATGGGAAGGGGAACATGGGAAGGGGGCGAGTTCCGAGGGTAATATTCTATCTCTTCAACAGAGTAGTGGCCACATTCAATTTTAATCATCTCACATATCCATTCTCTTTTGGGAGATACTTGTAAGGTATTTTGTTGAATGCCCTTCTTTCTTGACAATAGGATTACAAAAGCATAAGTTTCCCTATTTTTGTTTTACCATCTCCTTCCTTAGGGCTCTCGCTTTCCATAAGGAAATCGTGTACTTCAGACTTTTATTCCACTGAGAAATGCTGGTCCTTCCATAGGAGGCACTTTGTTATTGTTTAAAATATTTGTTCTCCCTTTTGCCCACACCCGCATGTCTACATACATATTTACAGAGGGAAGCAGTCAGAGTACATCACCACCAAAATGTTACTGTTAATTATCTGAGCATGCTGGGTACGATGTGATTTTTTTCTCTTCTTTATGGTTTTTAATATTTCTCTAATAAGTGTATATCCTTTCTCTTTAAGAGGAAAGCAAACTAACTCATTCCATGTGGTTAGATTTCAGAGTGTTTTTCAAGGCCTTTAAAATGCTCATAATTCTTTATAAACACAGATTTCCAACTTAACCAAAAGATAAGCAATATTATCAATTCATAGAAAATTCCTTTTTGTATTGACCCAAATTTGCCCTCCTTGACTTGTAAATATCCATCTTTGTTCTGCCTTTAAAAAAAAATAAGTATGTTTTTATTCACAGAGAGGAGGGGGAGGGAGAGAGAGATAGAAACATCAATGATGAGAGAGAATCATCTTGCAGCTGCCTGCCCCCCACTGGGGGCAACACAGGTGTGTGCCCTGATCTGGATCTAGAGTCGAACTGTGACCTCCTGGTTCATTGGCCGACGCTCAACCACTGAGCCACACCAGCTGGGCTGTTCTGCCTTTAAGAATGTTAGAATAAATCTACCACAGCAACCTCTCCCCTTCCCCACTTTGTGGGATAGCTCTTGAGAGGCAGCCTTTCAGACATGCTGAGAGCACTGTCGCCTGCTGTCAGGCTCCTCTGGGTTGGAACGCTGCAGCCCTTTCATCATATCTTCTGTGACATGGTTTTTAAATCACATGCCATCCTGATTGCTTTCCTCTGGACGCTTTCTGTTTTGTCACCCTTTGTTGTTAAAAATAAATTACTCCCAATTTCCTGCTTTCAGTAGAGTAGAGTGAACATAATTGACTCTTTGATGTGTGAGGGTCTGGTATGGTCCGAAAGCAATTGCACTGACCTTGACTACTTACTCTCGGTACTGTAAATATTATAGGGGAAAAATAGGAGTTGTGCTACATCTTTACCAACCCTTGGATATGTCTTGGAAAATTTTTTTGAAATTATTATTATTTTTTTCTTATTTGGCTTTTTCTTTTGGTAGTGAATTATACTATACAAAGGTAACCGATATCAAAAACAAAACATGGTTAATTGTTAAATTCACAATGCAGATAATCTGTTTTTATTTTCCTCTAGTAAACTGTGACCTTTCTGAGGTCAAGGATTATTTCTTATTAGTTTTAAAAAATCTTCTGCGAATAGCATAGTCCTAGCTGTATGTGATGATGCCCAATAAATATCTGATGCTCAGTTAATGCCTATACAAGAAATTAAGATCTTGTAAAATGAAATAAATTCTAATTTTTAGAATATAGTGAAGAATCAGTAATATACTAGTAGAGTTGGACCTTAATTTTATTCTAACTTGCAAGGAGTAACCTTAGTATATTAGTTAACATTATTCACAAAGAAAAATACTAGTGTGTTATGTGGGAATGCTTTTACCTCGAAATGGCAGAAAACCCACATTGCAATGACTCAAGCATTAGGAACTTTATTAGTTACTTAAGAAGCCTGGGGAAACTGGCCCTGGGCTACTTGAGTAGCTCAATGATGTCATCAAGGGCCCAAGCTCTTTTTATTCTTCTGTTGCTGTCCTTGACCTGTTACCTTTTTGACTTTAGGCTTATTGCCTTATAGTTACAATGTCCCTGCCCTAGCACCGGGCATCAAAACTGCATCCAGACAGAGGAACCTGAGGGCCGAGGCTCTGAAGCAGCCTCTTTGCATTTCTTTTCTCTGGGGAAGATAGTTTTTCAGATCCCTTCCAGCAAACTTCCCCTTATATCCAACTGACCAAAACTGAGTCTCATGCCTATCTCCAGGAAGCAGGCAAAGGAGTAGAGTCTTGGGAATGACTGTTCATTAAACAACAGTTTAGGCCACAGCTAGAAAACAGACATCTACACTAATAAAAGAGAAACATGGTAATTGGCGTACGACCACTACCCTTTTCATTGGCTAATCAGTGAGTATATGCAAATTAACTGTCAGCCAAGATGGCGGCCGGCAGCCAGGCACTGAAGCGAGCAGGGAGGCTTGCTTGCTGCAGATTCCAACGTTCTCCGCCTAACTTGCCAGCCTCTCAGTTGCAACTCTAAGCAACTATATACTATGTTGCAAATAAGAAGCTAAACAAAACCCCAGAAAAGGGCTTCCATTCAGCCGGGCTCAGACCTCAACATTGTATCTATGTTTTCAGTAGCGAGGCCTCAGAGCTAAAGCTGGCCCAGAATAAAAAAAAAAGAGAGAAGAAAACAAGGAGCGGTTGGAAGCTTTAGTCACTCGCCAGCCGGAAAACAGCCCTCAGCCCCTCACCCAGACTGGCCAGGCACCCCAGTGGGGACCCCCACCCTGACCCAGGACACCCTTCAGGGCAAACCAGCCAGCCCCTACCCATGCACCAGGCCTCTATCCTATATAGTAAAAGGGTAATATGCCTCCCGGCACCGGGATCAGCATTACAGGGGGCAGCGCCCAAACCCCCTGATCGCCCTGCAGCTCTGTGAGTGACAGGGGGCGGGGCCCCCACCCCCCAATCGGCCCTACCCTGAGCGTGAGTGAGGGTGGCATCGCAACCTCCCGATCCGCCCTGCTCTGTGCATGACGGGGCGGCGTCCCAACTCCCCAATCGGCCCTGCTCTGAGCATGACCAGGGGCTGCACTTAGGGATTGGGCCTGCCCTCTGCCACCCGGGAACAGGCCTAAGCCAGCAGGTCGTTATCTCCCGAGGGGTCCCAGACTGCGAGAGGGCACAGGCCGGGCTGGGGGACCCCCCCCCCCCCCCGGGCCCTGCTCTGTGCCTGAGAGGGGGGAGCTCCCCAACCCCCTGATCCGCCCTGCTCTGTGCATGACGGGGCGGCGTCCCAACTCCCCAATCGGCCCTGCTCTGAGCATGACCAGGGGCTGCACTTAGGGATTGGGCCTGCCCTCTGCCACCCGGGAACAGGCCTAAGCCAGCAGGTCGTTATCTCCCGAGGGGTCCCAGACTGCGAGAGGGCACAGGCCGGGCTGGGGGACCCCCCCCCCCCCCCGGGCCCTGCTCTGTGCCTGAGAGGGGGGAGCTCCCCAACCCCCTGATCCGCCCTGCTCTGTGCATGACGGGGCGGCGTCCCAACTCCCCAATCGGCCCTGCTCTGAGCATGACCAGGGGCTGCACTTAGGGATTGGGCCTGCCCTCTGCCACCCGGGAACAGGCCTAAGCCAGCAGGTCGTTATCTCCCGAGGGGTCCCAGACTGCGAGAGGGCACAGGCCGGGCTGGGGGACCCCCCCCCCCCCCCGGGCCCTGCTCTGTGCCTGAGAGGGGGGAGCTCCCCAACCCCCTGATCCGCCCTGCTCTGTGCATGACGGGGCGGCGTCCCAACTCCCCAATCGGCCCTGCTCTGAGCATGACCAGGGGCTGCACTTAGGGATTGGGCCTGCCCTCTGCCACCCGGGAACAGGCCTAAGCCAGCAGGTCGTTATCTCCCGAGGGGTCCCAGACTGCGAGAGGGCACAGGCCGGGCTGGGGGACCCCCCTCCCCCCGCCCCCCCAGCGCACAAATTTTTGTGCACCGGGCCTCTAGTATATTATAAAGAGAGATCAGGACAAGAGATTCTGAACTTTACTAGTTCAGTGATAAATTCTGGGGAGCCAAATTGCAAAGACTCTTCTAAAAAGATTGCTGATAATATTGGAGTAACATGATTGCATAACTTATTCAAACAGATGAATCATCCCCTGTCAATCACTTTTGGGAGCGCTGATGAACCCGTTATCTTTCCTAGCTTTTATAAATTAAACAGGCTGTGTCTTTATCACAAAGCTATTTTTATTTTTTCTCCTTCCTTTCAGGAATCCTATCCAAAGAAGAGGAATTACACTATGGAAATTGTACCATCTGCTTCTCTGGATACGTTTCCTTCAGAAAACGAGAACTTTCTCTGTGATCCCACGGACACAGCAGTTACCAAGAAACCCTGCTCCTTAGAAATTGCAAGAGCCCCTTCCCCAAGAACTGGTAACGTGTCTTCCAGTTTGATCTGCGTGCTTGTGTATGTGAAGATATGTCATTCATATTTTGAGTTCCCACAATATTTTCAACATGGAAATTCCCCAATATAATCATGATAATATGTTTCTTTTTTTTTTGTTTGTTTTGTTTTGTTTGCATTTTGAAGTAAGTCCTGGTAAGTCAGAGGGATTTGATGTGAAGTCTCTTAACTTCCTGGCAAGAGGCCTCATAGGAATGACACTGCCTAGGTGCATGACTCTCCACGGTACTTTCTGTTCTTACGGTACAGGTCCTTGATTACTTTTGCTCTTGGCAGCGATGACCTAAAGAGACAATTTATCAGTCTCCTCTCCTACACACCCAACTTATAATAGTGGAACAAGTGTAGGAAGGCCACAATTGACATTCCTATTCAGACACAGGGAAAACAGGGCCCACAGCAGTCACAGCCTGTGGCTATTATGAAGCTAATCAGACACAGTTCTTTGATTAAGGGTCAGTCCTATGCATAGAAATTATTCTCTGGGGCTCTAGGTTCCAGCCTCTGAGTCATTCTTCAATTTCCATAAAAAAAAACCCATATTTACAGCTGAATATCTTTCTCACCTGTTTCCTGCCTTTAAAATTTGAGCAGTCAAAAGATCTTTCATTGTGTACTATCTCTGTTCCTTCCAGGTCAAGCTGATATAATTTCTTTTAAAACTCCGTGGACTTTTTGTGTTTCAATTTATATTGCACCCCATTAGACAAAAGCTTATATTCCAGATCAGCTCTTCTGAATATTGGGTGACTTCTGTGAGACAATGTCCATGAGATTCTTAGAAGTCCTATTGTTGAACCCAGAGGATCTATGAGGTATGCCCTTAAAAATCCTTAAAGGGCCTTTCTGTTTGGCTTAAAGTTTCTATGTGGCTCTTCCTGAGATCTTGTTTAGGTGTTAAGGAATGATTTTGTACTCCCACCCAGACTTGATCATTGGCCTTCTTAATTTGAGATATTATTATTATTAATTTATTATTATTTTGCGACGTGGAGCTGCTGGAAAAAAGAAACCAATTTTGTTTTTATACCCAGAAATTCCTGGCTCCTTTGACTTTAGCAGGCCACTCTGCAGTTCTCTGAATTTTATCATAGGCAGCCAGAAGAAGCTAAGTTCTACTTTAAATATTCTGCCTGGAAATCTCCTTAGCTAGATTATAGAGTTCATTCGGTTCAGTTGCTATTTTCTATGCTACCGCAGATGTCAATGTTGCCAAACTTTCTACTATGACATGACACATGAATCCTTGCCTTGAGCTTCCAATTGCATTTTCTGTCCTTTGAGCTTTACCAACAGCTTCCTCATAGTGCTTTGGGCTTCCATGAATCATCTCCCAAAGGCCGTTTAGCTTTTCACAGTCACTCACTGGGAGGCCCTTCCAGCTTGTCCTGCTGCCCAATTACCAAGTGAACGCCACTCAGATTTTTGATATGAAAGCACCCCATTTCCAAGGACCACAATCTGTTCTTGTTATTGATTGCTGCATAATAAGCCACCCCAACACTTAGTGCGTTAAAACAACAGTCATTTATTTTTCTTATAAATCTGCAATTTGGATAGGGCTTGGCAGGGGTAACTTCTTTCTGCTCCAAGTGATATCAACTGGGACAACGTTGCTAGGTTCAGGAGCATCCAGTCGCAAGGTCAATCCTTATTCATATGGCTGACATGGTCAACTTGGACTTCCTCATGGTATGTGATGGGATTCTAAGAGCAAGCATCCTTACAGAATGAGGCAAAGCTCTAGGTATTACATTTTATGACTTAGCCTCAAAGACAACATCAATTTCATTGTAGTTAAGAGGCTGCCTTTATTTAAGTGGAGGGAATTTAATCTTCCCCGACCCTTTAAGGAAATGTATTACTAAAGTTACATTATAAGAGCATGGCCAGTGTAGCTCAGTGGTTGAACGTCAACCTATGAACCAGGAGGTCACGGTTCGATTCCCAGTCAGAGCACATGCCTGGATTGCGGGCTCAATCCCCAGTAGGGGGATTGTAGGAGGCAGTTGATCAATGATCCTCTCTCATTGATGTTTCTCTCTCTCCCTCTTCCTTCTTCTCTGAAATCAATAAAATAATATATTAAAAATAAAGTTATATTATAAGAATATGTTCTTGTAGCCACATTTGGAGAATACAAATCCCACAGTAACTGAGTGGGTTAAGAATTAATTTGCATGAATATGATTTTCCTCAATTGTGTTCAATCATCTGGATTCAGTATAAAAGAAGTCAGTTTGCTTAACTGACCCAGGCTTAATTCATAATTATTGGTCACAGTCCAGTGGCTTTTTCAGATGTAGAAATGAGGCTGGCCCACAGTACCTAGAACAGTGATGGTAAACCTTTTGAGCTCGGCATGTCAGCATTTTGAAAAACCCTAACTTAACTCTGGTGCTGTGTCACATATAGAAACTTTTTGATATTTGCAACCATAGTAAAACAAAGATTTATATTTTTGATATTTATTTTATATATTTAAATGCCATTTAACAAAGAAAAATCAACCAAAAAAATGAGTTCGCGTGTCACCTCTGACACACGTGTCATAGGTTCGCCATCACTGTATTCGGGAGTTACTGACTTCTCAGGGAGTTATGGATGTTTTTCCTTTGTTACTAAGTCCTTTATTGACTGAAAATAAGACTTTTGGATATGGAGACACCTCTTGATGCATCTGAGTCTTTTAAAGGCACTCAGATTGAACTGGGTGGGTAACTACCCTCCAGTTCCTCATCCACTCAACATGCATTTATTGAGTGCCTCTTGTGTTCTAGACATTGCGCTACATGTTGCAGAGGAAACAGAGTGAAAGGTACAAATCTTGATCTTTAGGAGCTTAGAATGTGTTAAAATTATGGGTAATAAGTGCAATGAGAGAGGTAAACATGAGGTTTTCATGGGAGGGTAGGAGAGAGTGAGTGGAGGCTTATTGAGGGAGCTGCTGCCTGATCTGTGCCTCAAAGAAGGAAGTCTTGGGTGGATGAGAGGGACTTGTATGGCCCCCAGGCTAGGGAATGCTCTTAGGGAAAATGCATTATAACAAGAGTGGCATGCAGAAGTTTGGGTTTTACCTCACAGCAGGAGCAAATCACTGACAGACTGTAAGTGGGGATGTGACGTGATAGGTTTTTGTTTTAAAATGACTCTCTGGAAGCAATGTGGAGAATAGATTGGACAGAGATGAGGCTAGAGGCAGGAGGATTAATGAGGAGATCAAAGAGCAGTCTCAGCAAGAAATGATGGCAGTCAGGACAGACACAATGGCAGCCCTGAGGGAGGGGAGACAAAGCTGAGAGTGAACCTCATCCCTTCCTGCCTTAGGGATTCCGACATCTGTGAAATAAGTAGCCAAGGGAACTAAAGTGTTACATGTTAGGGAATGTGTTTTATAGTTTTTGGTTAGTTGTGTTGGATAAAATGACATAGGCTTACAGATAAAGTGGGGATCTCTACACACACAAGAACTGGATTCTGAAGAAGAGAGAGAGAGAGAGAGAGAGAGAGAGAGAGAGAGAGAGAGAGAGAGAGGAGGAAGGGAAGAGTTAGGAAAGAGATATGATGAAGGGATGATCAGATCTTTAGAGGGACTGTTATGGTTAAATTGTGCTCCCCCTTTCCTTTTTATGGAATCCTAACATCTAGTACCTCAAAATGTGACCTTATTTAGAGTGTTTGGATAGAGGATCTTTATAGAGATAATTAAGTTGAAGCAGAGTCATTAGATGAGCCCTAATCCAACGTGACTGGTGACCTTATAAAAAGGGGGAGATTTGTCCACAGGCGATATGGAAAGGGAAAAGATGATGTGAAGAGATACATCTGAAAACCAAGGAGAGAGCTCAGAACAAAACCTCTCTCGCAGCCCTCAGGAGCCACCAACCCTGCCAAAACTCGATTTCAGGCATCTAGCCTTCAGAACTGTGAGATAATACACTTCTGTTAAAATACCTAGTTGGGAATGCTCTGTTACAGCAGCTCAAGGGAACAAATATGGGGCCAAAACTGAGCACACAAACTCAATACTACACAGAAGGGAGGGGTGAATGAGGATGCCTGGGATGTGAGGGCAGACTCCGCCTGGCCTGCTAATCTCAGAGGCTAAGCAGCTTGAGGGTCATGACTGTGACCGGCAGTGTCATTCATAGATATAGAATATATAGTTTCTCAGAAAATCACAGTTAAGTATGCATCTTAGTTACCTTTCTGTGGGCTGTCCCATGTATTAACTAGGATGAGCTAGTACAAAATATTATCTCACCCTGACCACAAGGAAAAAAATTCAGCATTTCCACTGGTTTGATTTAAATATGAAGCACCTTATTAGTAAGGCTATATTCAACAAAGTTTTGCAGTCCAACCAGAAAATGAGGGATGCTTTTCCCAAGGTGCATCTTAACTAATGCCTCAATGACTACAGATTTTACACAGAGTAAGACATGATATTGCTGTAGTACCAGGCTCATTAAATAAAGAATAACAGGAGTCCAGTACTTCCTTGGTAATTTGCTGTCTGAGACTCATGTTTATGCAGTCAATATTGAATCATATTTTTCCCTTATTGTATCAGGAAAAAAGAACCGCATATAATCACAGTGGTGATTCAGTTGCATAAATGAATGAATAATCAAATGAGTGAATGAATGAATGACCATTATCTTTAAAAGAAAATGGCTGTAATGGCAGAAAAAGCCCTTATGAAATAGTCAGATGCCATCAAAGATAATGTTTTCTTATCTGCTTTTCATTTAATTTTAACCTTCACAGGGGAATATTTCTATTTTATGGTAACTAGGCAACCTGTTATTTTGAATCACTTAGTACAGGCTTTGCACACTATGGATGCTCAATAAATCCATTTTGATTAATGAGCAATTTGCAGCAACACTGTTTCCAATCTTGTTGGAAGGGAATAGATGATCTCTGATAAAAAAAGAACACAATCATAGGTACATGCCAGGAT